ATCTGAATTTACTTTAAAAAATAAAATCTTTAGTAGTAATCAGGTTAGTAGTAATTTGTTTTGTTACGTTTTGTTTAAATTTAGCATGAAAAAAATGATGTATTCCCTCTTACAGCTACAAATAGCTGAGGTGTTATCATGACAATCTGAAATGATTCCCAGAGGGTCTATGAGCAAAGATACACCATTTATTAATTTTCTGACCACACACACACACACACACACACACCACGCACGCACGCACGCACGCACGCACGCACGCACGCACGCACGCACGCACGCACGCACACACACACACACACACACACACACACACTGTACCACACACTTGTCACTTCCATGTTCTTCTTCAACTCATCTAGCTCCTCAGTCAGGGGCCCTTTCTCATTTCATTCATTTCCCCTCCTCGACTCCTCGAATCCTCGGTCCTCCGGTAGTGACCCGGAAATGGATTTCAGCGCGCCATGTTGAAGGACATCTCATTTCTCTAAATGCACTTCGAGGACCGAGGACCGAGCATCGAGGAGGCTCCCTGGAGGAGCTATAATCGAGGATACACTTCCGGCAACAGTGATGTTTAAAAGAGTCGTGACGCACGGCCGGACTTATCTCAGCCAATGACAGCTCTGCATGCATCCCCTGGATATTATTTTATTAACTGCTACGACGCGATGTTTACAGTGAAAACAGCTGTGAGGTCCGTGCAGAAAGCATAGCAGTGTGTATAATATATATCACTCAGTATAACAGGCCTACATTACTCTCTGTATTGGTATGCTTTAGTTTAGTAGATATCTACAAACAAAGAGTCGATATTTTTCTAAAATCATTTAGTGCTTCACATAATAAAATATAAATATATAAATATATATGTGTGTGTGTGTGTGTATATATGTCCGCATCTGTAGCCTGTTATTGTCTCATTATACCGCACTGTGAATGAATTAAAAGTAAATGTATAAGTCGTCATGAACACAGTTCTGTCCATCAGACAGAGTGCTGTGCCTCCTGTCATCATTAATGGACGTCTCTTTAAAATGACCGCTCAGAGGAGAGGATTTCTCATTTCTCTAACCGCCTGCTGCTTCCCCTCCTCTCTCCTCGGTTCCCCTACTCTCTCCTTGGTTCCCCTCCTCGACTCCACTGCTCGCATCTCCTGTGGGCGGGACTAAGACACGAGGATAGGAGTCGAGGAGGGGAATTAGAGAAATGAGAAAGGGCCAGGGACTTTTGCTTTGAAACTGTCATTTTCAATTTTGCCTAGAGATCTAAAACAGAATTCCCATTGTATAGTATGTTAATCTATCAATGATAATGTCCTTATTTCCTTTTCTTATTCCAACACCTTATCACGTTTTCAAGAAATTCATTCTGCTAAACAGTCCTGTTGAATGGAGAGGCTGTCATTATTTCCAACAGGACCATATCAGTAATACAGGATATGTTTAGTTCAGTTATATATTTGTATATAACTGAACTAAGTATATTTGTGAAGAAAAAAATATTGTGTTCCCTCTTACAGCCACAAAACAAAGAACCAATACATTGTCAACAACATATGTATAATTTCCTCTTCTTAAATGTGTAAAATAAGTAATTTAAATGTAAAACATAAAAAAAATGAACTAACATTATCAGGATGTGAAGCGCTTATGGTGTGGACGTGACTTCAAAGACGTCTATTAGTTTTTTACAGAGATTAGCATCAGTCAGCATGCTCACTGATATGCATGTTTCTTGATGTTTGTATTTTTATGGTTTATTGCACCTATTGTAGGTTGCTTCGGATAAAAGCCTCAGATAAATAAAATATTATATATTGTTACCTAATGTGATATTTAGTACTGATTACGTACGATTTACCCCTTCAGATCAAACCCCTGATTATTGCAGTAGTTTAATCTTAATACTTACCAAGGTTGATTCTCTTCATCTCGTCTCTCTCTTCAGTCAGGGAGTTTTGCTGTGAAACTGTCATTTTCAGTGGAGAGGTTACCAACTATGATAATTGGATCAACTGAAGAAATTATTCACTTTAAAACAAATTAACCGAGCTGGTTTTGATTATAATTATTTCAGAGCAACTATTGTTCAATACAAATAATTATACATACATTCACTCTGAGCACATACTGTATGTTGAAATGAATATTAATAAAATGTCCATGAGTTGTGCAAATAACTTTTTATATTTTATATTTATAATTGTAGGTCATATTGCACACCTTAATAGACAGTGATGTGTTTTTTTCGAAATAATTCAGGATAAGTGATCGTCATATCTTGCTAAATAATTATTTGTATATCTGGCTACAGAAGTGAGAGTCACAAATTAAGAAGACTTACAGAGAGTGAGACGCAGGGAAATGTTGAGAGCAGCTTGTAGGATACACAGGAGTCCAAAACTCACAACAAGCAGTCTGTTCATTTTCATTCCTGTGTGTAGAACCCAGAAACATGCACACACACGGAGGTTTATGGAGGCTGACTTGCACAAGTGGCTGTTTGAGAAACCTTACACTTTAAACTGAGATGTTGATTTTGTCTTTAATTTCTCACGCAATATTTATATATATATATATATATATTGATGATCTTTAAGTTTAAAATTAATCTTAGAAAATAAGGTTATTATAAACTCGACAACTCCAAATTGTTGGACTATGATTTCTGTCTTACCAGGCGCTGCAGCAGGCACCTTGAAGTCTTCAACAGAGCGGCGGGATGCAGCTTTCCTGGCTGAGACATCTTCAAGGTTTTCGTGTATCGTGGAGAGCTCATGTTCTTCTTCAAGGGAAGCCATCTCATCAGTTGAGCCTCTGCAGAGTGCTGATGGTGTTTGTCAAAGTGTCTACTTTAAAGGGCACTGATCTTCCTTTATTTAATGATTCTCTCAGCATACACCTCTAACTCTCTCTCTCTCTTCTCTTCTCTTTCTCTTTCTCTCTCTCTCTCTCTCTCTCTCTCTCTCTCTCTCTCTCTCTCTCACTCTCTCTCTCACTCTCTCTCTCTCTCTTTCTCTTTCTCTTTCACACTCTCTTCTTCCTCATTTTGAGTCATCTGCCTTTGTTCCTCAACTAAGAGCTGGTTTAAAAAACTCTGAAGTTGCTGTAAAGTTGTGTAAATCTAAATCATAATCTGTGTTGATGCATATCTATGCATATTGATGCATTGTGTTATATTAATTATGTGATGTGTACTTTATTGAGGTGTTATATTAAAAGCTATATAGGCTATTATATACACTATACATGTCAAATGAAAATAAGCAACAACTCTCTGTGTAGCACATCAGATCAATGGTCTGTATTTGTTTTATTACAAAGGGGTTTGTCCCAATCAAATGAATTACATTTAAATTGAACATCGTGTTAACACATATTTAAAACTGCATTATAACATAATACACACACTATTATTGTTATTTATTTATTTTTGAAAACCTACATTTAACCAGGTAAGTCCTGTTGAGATCAGAACATCTCTTTTCAAGGGGAAACCTTAGTAGTTCACACTAAGGCATAGTTATATTATAGTTAATGACGGGTATGGAAAAGACCAGAAAGTTGTAACAGAAGCAGCCGCGCCGAGATTGCAAAGTGACTCGAACCATGCACTTACATAAATATAAACATTATGCAACATTAACCAGACATATGCATATGATAATAAATACTATTCTTCATCGCCTAAAACTGCAAAACCACTCTTGTTCTTCCTGGTTTGAAGTCAAATGGTCTCTCTTCTTCCTTAATGTTCACAACTCGCTTGCTGTTACAACCTCTGCTGCAGCTTTGACGTATTGATTCTTCTGTACTTTGTGTAATTTGGACTTTTACTCACAATTCACGCATTTATTTTTACTTCCAAAGAAAATCATCATTATTGTTGTTTATCAGTGACACATAATGCAAAGACATTTCATGTTTTTAAATGTTGTATTATCTGAATGACTATACTCTACCCTTATGTATTTGCACCAGAACTGGTTATCTCTGTATTTATTAGTTTGACAATTTTTAAAAATATCACTTACAATTTGACCACATTCACAATGACATTATCACCAATATCCGGTGTAAAATAAACCCCTGTAGTTAACTTACATAATCATCCAGTAGTACGCTAAGTACTGACATTACTTTTTCATAACAAACTCTGAATTCCTTTTAAAATAAAATAAAAATAGGAAAGCATCCATCCATACAAAATTGCACTTCCCTCTATACTTTGAGAACTGCTCTTCATCAACAAGACTTGGAGAAGACCCAAGTCCTCTTGGTGAAAATAAATGTTGCAACATTAATTTCTCATATGACTTACAAAAAAAACATGTGACCTGTTTGTCAAATGCAGCTCAGTCTATTTTATAGTGAGGGATTCATCGGAAAACTCAGACTTTGTTTTGAAAATAAAATAAAATCATTACATCTCCAAGACACAACACCAGGACGTGATTTCAAGTTGGCATGATTGAAATAAGATAATCTAAAAGCAGGCAGCCAATATTATAATCTCAAAAGCAGAGAAAAGACACTTTTAGGAATTGCAATTACAGTTTAAAAAAAGTGAACATTAATCCTATATATGAGACATGACGTGACTCCAGATATCTACGTGAGAGTCCAACCCCTCGCCCACCTGGACCTCCACATTTGAATTTAGGCTGAAAATGAGAAATGCAACCTGTTCCTGTTTTTTTCATCATCGTTTTGTGGGACTAGATGTGGAATTATGCCAATCTCTTCTCACATATCCATGCATTTGTATTATAACTGCAATGGCTATCTGTCCAGCTTATTCTTGCATCATCGTAATATATTTTTGCACAGTCTTCGTCCAGCTTCGAACTTCCATTTGGCTCACCGGTGTGCCAGTAGCTGAAACCCCCAAAGGAAAAATAATAATAATACATTTCAACCTGACATCAACTCAAATCAAAATGCTTTATTGAGATTGATAGAGATAGAATAATAAATGTCTATCCTATGTCTGGTTTGTTATCTGACATGAAATAAGCTTTAAAAGGACATCACAAAATGTAATTGTGTTCAGAGAGGTTGGTAGGTTACTAATATACAAATAATTTAATGTGAAAATAACATAATTATGACATGAAGCTGCAGAGCGAGTGTCTGTCACAATGCACCTTGACAATAGAAAAGTGAAATAATGAGTGAACCTTGTGGTCAGCGGGGTCCCATCGACCCACTTCCATCTGCCCTCTGTCTCTCGATCAGTGAGTCCAATCCACACCTGCTTCAGAAAACGTGTTATGTATTCCTTGTTGTGGAGAGAAAAACGCACAATCACAACCACAATATAAACCGTGACATGCTGTCAACCACTTCTGTGACACACACACACAAACCAAACACACACACACACACACTCACCTGTTCTTCTCTGCTGTTGACAATCACCAGATCTGCTCCTTTTTGAAGACAGTCATCCCTACTCGCTTGCCAGTTTTTCTGGATAGGAGAAATGGTATAGAGACTACCGCTGAAGTACTTCCATCCTTGATAAGAATAGTGGAAAACAGAAAGAACGATAAAACCGTAATACCAAAATTACCAGATGCTTAATCTACTAAATAAAGTACTAAGGTGGTATCTACCGTATGATATAAAGGCCCACCGGCTGAACAATTGATTTCATTATCAGACTTACCCCCGGCTCTCAGAGTCCTCCCCAGATCGTCTCTTTCCTCAGACAGGTTTTTGTTAGTTGCCACCATATCTGAAACAGAAATTCTATTGTGATGTTTCTTTCCTTTTAATACTGAATAAAAAGCTTTTAGGGAACTTTGCTGAAAGCTGTCATTTTGAATGAGAAGTTATTATTTTCAAAAGAATCAGGTTAGTAGTAGTTTGTTTTATTAACTTTTGTTTAAATTTAGCATGAAAAAATGATTGTATTCCCTCTTACAGCTACAAAAGAGCTGAGGTGTTATCAATGACAAACCTGAAATGATTTCCCAGAGGGTCTATGAGCAAAGATACACCATTTATGAATTTTCTGACCACTTGGGGTTGTTACACCATACCATAGGACACCAAACCAACTGAGACCTGTCGGTCCGCCGCATCTACGCACACACACACACACACACACACACACACACACACACACACACACACACACACACACACACACACACACACACACACTGTACCACACAAACACCTGTCACTTCCGTGTTCTGCCTGAGAAAGTACACCTTTATTTATTTCATATACACCACCAATGTAGTATACCTTATACCCCTTCAGATCAAACCCCTGACTTTAGGGTAGTTTCATCTTAATACTTACCAAGGTTGATTCTCTTCAACTCATCTAGCTCCTCAGTCAGGGGCCCTTTCTCATTTCATTAATTTCCCCTCCTCGACTCCTCGAATCCTCGGTCCTCCAGTAGTGACCCGGAAATGGATTTCAGCGCGCCATGTTGAAGGACATCTCATTTCTCTGAATGCACTTCGAGGACCAAGGACCGAGCATCGAGGAGGCTCCCTGGAGGAGCTATAATCGAGGATACACTTCCGGCAACAGTGATGTTTAAAAGAGTCGTGACGCACGGCCGGACATATCTCAGCCAATGACAGCTCTGCATGCATCCCCTGGATATTATTTTATTAACTGCTACGACGCGATGTTTACAGTGAAAACAGCTGTGAGGTCCGTGCAGAAAGCATAGCAGTGTGTATAATATATATCACTCAGTATAACAGGCCTACATTACTCTCATTGTCAACAACATATGTATAATTTCCTCTTCTTAAATGTGTAAGATAAGTAATTTAAATGTAAAACATAAAAAAAATTGAACTAACATTATCAGGATGTGAAGCGCTTACGGTGTGGACGTGACTTCAAAGACGTCTATTAGTATTTTTACAGAGATTAGCATCACTCAGCATGCTCACTGATATGCATGTTTCTTGATGTTTGTATTTGTATGGTTTATTGCACCTATTGTAGGTTGCTTCGGATAAAAGCCTCAGATTAAAAAAAATTATATATTGTTACCTAATGTGATATTTAGTACTGATTAAGTACGATTTACCCCTTCAGATCAAACCCCTGATTATTGCAGTAGTTTAATCTTAATACTTACCAAGGTTGATTCTCTTCATCTCGTCTCTCTCTTCAGTCAGGGAGTTTTGCTGTGAAACTGTCATTTTCAGTGGAGAGGTTACCAACTATGATAATTGGATCAACTGAAGAAAGTATTCACTTTAAAACAAATTAACCGAGTTGGTTTTGATTATAATTATTTCAGAGCAATTATTGTTCAATGCAAATCTCTTAATACAAATACATTCACTCTGAGCACATACTGTTGAAATGAATATTAATAAAATGTCCATGAGTTGTGAAAATAACTTTTTATATTTTATATTTAAAATTGTAGGTCATATTGCACACCTTAATACACAGTGATGTGTTTTTTCCGAAAGCATTCAGAACAAGTGATCGTCATATCTTGCAAAAGAATAATTGAAACAGGGACGGTTATCACTTGCACTGGCTACAGAAGTGAGAGGCACAAATTAAGAAGACTTACTTAGGTAAATGATGAGAGCAGCTTGTAGGATACACAGGAGTCCCAAAATCACAACAACCAGTCTGTACATTTTCATTCCTGTGTGTAGAACCCAGAAACATGCACACACACGGAGGTTTATGGAGGCTGACTTGCACAAGTGGCTGTTTGAGAAACTTTACACTTTAGACTGAGATGTTGATTTTGTCTTTAATTTCTCATGCAATATATATATATATATATATATATATATATATATATATATATATATATGATGATCTTTAAGTTTAAAATTAAGTTTAGAAAATAAGGTTATTATAAACTCAACAACTCTAAATTGTTGGACTATGATTTCTGTCTTACCAGGCGCTGCAGCAGGCACGTTGAAGTCTTCAACAGAGCAGCGGGATGCAGCTTTCCTGGCTGAGACATCTTCAAAGTTTTCGTGTATCGTGGAGAGCTCAGGTTCTTCTTCAAGGGAAACCATTTCATCAGTTGAGCCTCTGCAGAGTGCTGATGGTGTTTGTCAAAGTGTCTTCTTTAAAGGGCACTTATTTGTGATCTTCCTTTATTTAATGATTCTCTCAGCATACACCTCTCTCTCTCTCTTTCTCTCTCTCTCAAACACTCTCTTCTTCCTTATTTTTGAGTGATTTGCCTTTGTTCCTCAACTCAGTATTTTATGATTTGACTGCTGCTCCATGTGCATATCTTTGGGTACCTCAAAAACATTTTTCCTCCAGGAAGGAAAACTCTACTTTGTCATTACTGATCATGTTAATGTTAATTAGGTAATTAATGATCACATTAGTTTGTTTACTTTGTTCATCAAAAAACAAGCAAGCCAATCAAAATCCATAAGCAATGGCCTCTAAAGTGAATGCAAAGCCTAATCGGCTCAATGCTAAGGTGTTTAAGAGCTGGTTTAAAAAACTGTGAAGTTGCTGTAAAGTTGTGTAAATCTAAATTATAATCTGTGTTGATGTATATCTATGCATATTGATGCATTGTGTTATATTAATTATGTGATGTGTACTTTATTGCGGTGTTGTATTAAAAGCTATATATTTTAACTACACTATACATATACAATGAAAATAAGCAACAATCCTCTGTGTAGCACATCAGATATCATAGTTAATAACGGGTATGGCAAAGGCCAGAAAGTTGATAGAGAAGCAGCCGCGCCGAGATTGCAAAGTGACTCGAACGCGGCCATGCAAATACATAAATATAAACGTCATGCAACATAAACCAGACATATGCATATGATAATAAATACTATTCTTCGTTGCCTAAAACTGCAAAACCACTCTTGTTCTTCCTGGTTTGAAGTCAAATGGTCTCTCTTCTTCCTTAATGTTCACAACTCGCTTGCTGTTACAACCTCTGCTGCAGCTTTGACGTATTGATTCTTGTGTACCTTGTGTAATTTGGACTTTTATTCACAATTCACACTTTTTTTTTACTTCCTAAGAAAATCAATCATTATTGTTTATCAGTGACACATACCTGTAATGCAAAGAAATGTCATGTTTTTTAATTTATTATTATCTAAATTAGTATACTCTACCCTTATTTATTTGCACCAGAACTGGTTATTTCTGTACTTATTAGTTTGACAATTTTTCAAAATATCACTTTTTGACCACATTCACAATGACATTATCACCAATATCCGGTGTAAAATAAACCCCTGTAGTTAACTTACATAATCATCCAGTAGTATGCCAACAAGTACTGACATTACTTCTTTACAACACACTCTGAATTCTTTTTTTAATAAAATAAAAAATAGGAGAACATTGAAAGCATAGTTTACCCAGAAGGGAGAAGATGTACTGTAGTTAGGGTACAAAATTGCACTTCCCGCTATAATTTGAGAACTTCTCTTGTTGCAACATTAATTTCTCATATGACTTATGAGTCATTGATTTTGAATAGAAAATAAAATCATTACATCTCTAAGACACAAAACCAGGACGTGATTTCAAGTTGGCATGATTGAAATAATAGAATCTAAAAGAAGGCAGCCAATATTATAATCTCAAAAGCAGAAAAAATACACTTTTAGGCCTTGTAATTACAGTTTTTAAAAAGTGAACATTAATCCTAAATCTGAGACATGACGTGGCTCCAGATATCTACGTGAGAGTCCAAACCCTCCCCCACCTGGACCTCCACATTTGGATTTAAGCTGAAAATGAGAAATGCATCTTGTTCCTGTTTTTTCATCATCGTTTTGTGGGACTAGATGTGGAGTTATGCAAATCTCTTCTCACATATCCATCCACTTGTATTATAACTGCAATGTTTATCTATCCAGCTGTTTACACCACGGTAAGATATTTCTGCGCAGTCTTCGTCCCGCTTCGAACTTCCATTTGGCTCACCGGTGGACCAGTAGCTGAAACCCCCAAAGGAAAAATAATAATAATACATTTCAACCTGACATCAACTCAAATCAAAATGCTTTATTGAGATTGATAGAGATAGAATAATAAATGTCTATCCTATGTCTGGTTTGTTATCTGACATGAAATAAGCTTTTAAAGGACATCACAAAATGTAGTTGTGTTCAGAGAGGTTGGTAGGTTACTAATATACAAATAATTTCTCACTAATGTGAAAATAACATAACTATGACATGAAGCTGCAGAGCGAGTGTCTGTAACAGCTCACCTTGACAATAGAAAAGTGAAATAATGAGTGAACCTTGTGGTCAGCGGAGTCCCATCGACCCACTTCCATCTGCCCTCTGTCTCTCGATCAGTGAGTCCGATCCACACCTTCTTAGGAAAACGTATTACGTAGTCCTTAAACGCAAAATCACAACCACTTCTGTGACACACACACAAACCAAACACACACACACACACAAGGGTGTAACTTTGGTTTGAGAAGTGGGGGGGACACAAAACAGGGGGTCCTCCGCAATGAAAATGTTTCTCAATTTAATTTAATTTCCTGCCTTTCTACAAATATATTAGGGACTATAGTGTTAACAAATCCAAGAAAAATGTGTAGTGTATATAATGAGTGTGCACACTTATCTAGTATCCTATCCATGTGAACCTGTTTATTTGTGATGACCTCACATCCTCTAGGGGGGTCCCGGGGCATGCACCCCGGGAAGATTTGTTTTCTTTAAATCAAAGCTAAATGCATCAATCTGGTGCACAAATGAAGAGATG